AAATATTAAAAAACAAAAACTGAAAAATTGCGTTTTTTGAATTCGCTTCCGGTAGCGACCGGAAGTACTGATGACACACGGAAAGGTGATTCTGCAAAGCTATAAGTCATGAACTATCATCTCAAATAAGTCTCCAGTTCATATCTTAAGCAGTTTTCGCTACTAAGTTCAGACAAAATTGCATTTTAAAATCAAAAAATTCTAGATATCTCATGACCGGAAGTGACGTCATCAACAAAAAAAATTTCCAATAAGGTTCAGATCAGTACCTATCAGATGTCAAAGTCTCATGAGAATCGACCCAGTAGTTTACGAGAAATCGCGTGCACAAAATTGGTAAGAATAATAATAATAGGGAAAAAGAAACCGAAGAATAACAAGAAGGTCTTCCGTTGGAGACGGAAGACCTTAATAATAGGGAAAAAGAAACCGAAGAATAACAAGAAGGTCTTCCGTTGGAGACGGAAGACCTTAATAAGAAACAGAGTAAAAACAATATGTTCCCCAACTTCGTTTGGGGAACATAATAATAATAAGAAACAGAGTAAAAACAATATGTTCCCCAACTTCGTTTGGGGAACATAATTATGAGATTTTATGCCATGTATTGTATCACCTTACGGCGCATGGATAATAACGTCAAAGTGTCTGAAACAGCGTCACGTTTTATCTTTGCTGAAAATGAAGTTGGATGAGTCCGACTTAAATTTAGGAATTTCATTGATACACATTCTTTAGTCTTCATAATTAGTCGAAGAACCAATTGGCACCCTCATGCAATCTTCTGAAGATTTATTAGTAAGTTACGGACAATATTCTCACCATCATTCAACTAAGAGAAAATCTCATATCGGCGGTCTACTGTGACAGCGTCTTTTGCTATTACATTAGGAGTTTGTCCGTATGTTTTGTACTCCCCAGGGACTCGATCAAAAAAAACTTCGCTAAGAAAACTCCTATTTTATTTGCATACTTAAGATATGGTGATATTTTTATAATCTTTTTTCTTCTATGGTCATTTCAAGTCTCTAAAGGTGTCATTACAAATCGAAATAAAACTGAACTGTTCTCCGGTGCGCCGTAACGTCATAAAACGTCGCCATTTTCATGTGTTGTGTTTACCACTTTCCCATTTCGAATTCTCGAGATCTTAAGTATTTAAAACTTTTATTCTGAATTCAAACTTGTGTATTCTTTAATAAAACCTTGGTTTTCGACCGTGCGCCGTAGGATAATACCTCGTGCATATTCAAGCATAATAAAATCTTTATTTGTGCCTATATATTATCAAAAAAATTATCATGCACTTAAATATGATAAATAAACATTTACTGAAATTTTCAGCTTAGTGCACCCATTACTTTTCGAGAAAAACGCTTTGTCCACGATTTTACGGGACAATCCTCGTACATGTATTTTGTAGTGTCTTCCATGATGTAATATCAGGACTGTCACTGTTGAACACTAACCAATTTAGATAAGATTAAGCTCCGCCCATTTTGTGACGTATGTGGTCCAGCATTTCACCGACCGGTCCAACATCTCATTCAGCGGTCCAACATAGAAATTTTTTATGCCAGCTCAGCAAACATTAGAAATGTTACTCAGACTTATTTTTCGTATAGATTTGTATAGGAACAAATATGTAAAGGTATAACAACCGTAAGTCGCATGTTGTCATAAATAAGTCAAATATCATCATTATAATATTGTCTGTGAACATGACTAAATACATTGCATCTTAACAAATATAAAGGCAGGTCAACAAAGTTATATTCTTGCATGTACGAGAAAACTCTTAATGACACAAATCTCTATTATTCCTTTATAAATTTGTCAATTTGAAGTACCTTTTTCTCAAATTTTGCCCCGCAAGCCATGATAAATTTGTTTGGATTTTATATAGCATATACTTTTCTTTTTGAAAATTATAAAAGTCAAAGAAACATTTTATATGAGTAAGCAGAGAGTTTATGAACCTTAAAGGCGGAAGTTAAACTTACTTTAATTGATCAATTCAGACAAAATTGGCAACCAATCCTTCAAACCTTACCGAAAGCATTAAATTATAGAATATACAAAGACGAACTAAAATTTGAAAACTTTTTAAATATTTTATCAAAAAAGACTTAATAGAATTCTTTAGATTTCGAACGTGTAACCATCATATACCAATTGAAAGTGGACGCTGGTTTAGATACCAAAATAAGAAAGAATTTGTCCCCATTGTAATCTAAAAGAGCTCAGAGATGAGTTTCATTACATATGAAAGAGCAGCTCGCTACAAACAGAAAGGAAACTATGCTTAACAGAAAAACACAGAATTTCAGAATATAATTAGTTTTAAAAACATGGAAAACAATTAACACTACTTTTTGAGAAAAATGTGCTCCTTTATGAAGAAAATAAATAAAATATCCTCCCGGCTTAAATTCCCATCCTTCCCATTTATAGCAACTTACAATTTAAAAAAAAAAATTATTTTTTTTTTTTTTTGGTTTAGTTTCTCTTTTAGACCTACTGTGATATATAAGATCACCATATTATGTTTTGTAATCTCTGTATGATATTGTAAAATGTTGAAGAGATTCAAATAAATGATTAATTGATAACCGAGACAGACTACTTATAAATACACCCGTGCATGAATGTTGACATAATGGAAATCAAAATTAGCATTTCGCACATTCTACTATCGTTCTTATGATTTTGAATGTTAATATATCCTTAATAATGGGTCACAATTTGGTTGACGTTTCATTCAAATTTTTCGCTATTTGTATTTATACTAAATTTGGCTACGGGATATCCCATCTAAATGAAAATTATTAAGGACTCAATGGGTCTTGCTTGACAACAAAGTGATGCTTATGCCACCAAAGCATCCGATCATACCCTTGGTCTTCCCAAGGGTCTGTGATTTAGTCATGTTTAAAAAAAATTTTGTTGGTAGATTTTTATGAGATTGATCACTGTTTCTTTTCTTTACCTTGACATTGTATCAACATATTTTAAAACACAATGTAAATTGCAACTAAATGCTTGAAATGATATTCAATTTATATATGATGTCATTTTAAAGGAGCATATAAGTTGTGCATTCTATTCAAAGCAATTGAAGAGGCTTGAATTGTTTACATTACCTCCTTTTCCTATTTTTCCAATCCATGCTAACCATAACAGTGCGGAAAGTACAAGACTTCCAATGCCAAAAATCACAACTAAAATAATCAAGAGCTTATTGGTCGAATAAGAGACTTCATACCTGTAATAAAGAAGGCATTTTTTGCCGTTCAAGAATTAAAAATTTTAAAAAAAATCCATTCAAATCTAAATACATGTGTGTTTAACACCGAAGATACAATGAAGTTCTCGATAAAATTAAAATGATGAAAATTAATGATGAAACATATGGAGATAACAAACATTAAATGAACTTACAGCGTGATTTCATCCGGTTTTATTGTGTTTTGAAAAGTTTTCGTAGTGATGATTTTCTTATAGCACATTTGATCTAGAAAATGGAGAAAATATTTTATATTTATATTAAAAAAATAATTTTATAAAAGCAAAAAAAAAATATATTTGTTGAAAAAATTATGTATCTTTCTTAGTTCTTCTTTTCATTGATTTTATTTTTTTTTTTTAATATATTTTTTTTTCATAATTCTACGATATCTTACATCAAAAAGAACCAATATACATTTAAAAGTATTTACGGCATATATAATTTTTACATAACTTACATATAAACTTACACTTATAAGCTTCAGAGGAAAGATATCTAATAGGACAGCTTCCATTTGTAAATTTTGAACAGTCTATATTAAAGTTATCAATAACTCTTTGTTCGGCAGTGTTGAACATTGGACAAAATCCTGATTAAAAAAAAGTGTATAATATGAAAGCCATACCACCAATCATTTAAACTTATGGGGAAAAGTGTTTTTTTTCTTTTAAGTGGGTAAAACTACACGGTCAATGTCAAGGGTTCCACAATATATGTCTTATAACATGAAAATGCATGTGAAATATCAAAGTCATAATTTCAAGTTGTCAATATTATTTGACATTTTTTTTACTCTGTGAAAGGGTTTGTCACAATGTCCACATAAATGACCTTAAAATCAAATAACAAAATGTATCCCATCGAATGAAATGAAACTTAAGATATCAAGAAAATATATTTTTGTAATAGACAAGGTAGAGAAACGGCCGAGTCGGGCCCCTTATTTGATGTAAAAATCAGAATACTGGTAAAATTGTGAAAGTTTGTTGTTAAAAATCTAAAATAATGCTTGCTTTTAAATCAGCACTAATTTGGATTCAAAGTTTACATGGAAGCAACTAATGGATGCAGAAGTTCAGGACATTTTTCACAAATTTCCTCATATCTAGTTGAATTTCATCATATTGGATATACCTTTTTCTTCGGAAAACATAGAACACAAGCTTACCTATCTTAGATTTTTTACAAATAAACTGCATCTGATAGTAGTGTAGAAAATATTTAAATTTGGTTAGATAGACAAGCATGTTTTCTAATTTTTTGAAAAAACAAAATATGCTGTAAAACCAATGGCAATTTGCATAAAAAGGAGACAAATCAAAATTTGACCCATTTTCTGATTCTCTGTGACGTCTGTGTATTATCAAACTTAGAACCAATACTCATTTTGTGCCAGGATTGACAACACGTTTTTATTTATAAATTATTGCATAATTCTAAAAAAAAAAAAACCCAATTAAAGCAGGGGCAAAAGAGGAATCTAAGTCTATCTTATCCTTTCTCCATTATGATAAGATACATTTTTTAAAACAAAGCATTAAATTGAGTTTAGAATTAACGGCCAGCTTGATAATATGTCGGAACTGCTTTACTAAAAAATAATCAAAAATAATATTAAGGTCACCGTGGTAATATTACCTGACATAAACCAGGGCGGTGCGCAAACTTCTATTGTTTCATTCCACCATTCATTCAAAAGACAGTGGTATACAAGCGACTTTCCACAAGTTTTATAATCAGCCAAATTGTAACACTTTTTCAGATTAGATGCTGCAATCCATTCTTGTTCAGTAGTCGGACAACTGTCTACTTTTTTAATAGTTCGTGTGGTGGCAGGACAACTATTACACTTTAAATATGATATTTAATATATGTTAGATAAGGTAAAAATCAAATAGATCTTAAATAATTGAATCGAGATGACTGATCAAGTAACGATTTTTAAAAAAGAAGAAAATAATTGACCTGGAATTAAAGTAAAAAGAAAATCCATCTTTCAAACAGACACCTCTAGAATTTTACAGTTAGGACATTTTATCTTGAACAGGTTGAACATTTTCTTTTACCTTGCATACACAAGGTATACTTGTGAGAAACATAATGATATTTGAGATCCTGATCAGTACTTCGTTTCCAGTGCCCATATTGACATTCTTTTTCATATCAGCACTGACTACAAGTACAAGTAACCAGAGTTTTAAAAATCCATAAAACTTGAACAAACCGAAAGTAGATTGAATTAATCCGTATTTCATAATCACAGGGGTGGGGGTTATTAATTAAACTGCATTCGTAAATAATAATAAATGTAATACTTAAAACATTCGCATTTTGGGGGTGTAACAGCATGAACATTGAGCTTAATCAATGCATATCTGTTAAAACATGTTACTGCATCCTTTTGATTACCTTATACATATATTAAAGAATTTGTGTTTATAAAATTATTCGCTTACAATCTGGGTTTTTCTCAATTATATGTCATTCACCAAAAATATCAGTTTCGAAAAAGAGATCATTACTTACTTAGTTATACAGTGAGTGTGTCCACCAAAACCAAAACCAAAACACAGTTACTGAATTTCTCAATCTTTTTACTTTCGGTTTCATTTTATGAGTTTGATTGATTTAAAGTTATTTAATTTTTATAAAGGTGTACCATAGAATATTTCCTCATCTTTTCAGAGACAAAATTAGTACAAGGACAATTTTTAAAGGGATTAAGAAAGCTTGGTATTAAGTTACAGTGACGATCTTTTCAAAGAATTAAAACAAAATCTAGTAATAATAGTATTTGACCATATATTTGTAGTGACTACGTAAGTGTATAAAAAGAATTTCAAAGTTAAATCACATATGCATAGACATGAAAAAT